AAAAATCTAAAATTAATGAAAAATATACAAATATTAAAAAAAAATAAAAACTGAAAAAATGTACTAAACTTAAAATAAAAACAAAATATAAAAATGTAAATTACATGAACGTGGTCTATATTGGGTGGATATTTGTCTATGAACATATTTCATTAATAGTAATGTTCTGCATATTTACCTTCATCTTTTAATAAGCGTACATAAAGGGTCATGGGTCATTTTCAGAAAATGGTGCCTTTTTTATTTTTTTACTGATAATTAATATATTTTGTTTGTTTGTTTGTTTGTTTTTTTACTTAGTCTTTTGTCTTTATAGATTTGACTTGTGTAGTGTTTAGAAATTAAAAAAAAAGAGCAACTGTTTTATTTATTTATTTATATTTATTTGTTTATTTTTTTTAGGGATTGACCAGAAAAAAATGATGCCCACATGGTACAAACAGCATTTATTTATTTATTTATTTGTTTGTTTGTTTGTTTGTTCATAAAGATCAAACCCTCCTACTATATTCATAGCTTTACTGTGACAGGTTTTAAATAATACAAAATAATATGGTTTCATCTACAGGTGATCAAGCTGCCTTTGTTTTATGTTACAGGGCAATGATAAGTGTTGTTAAAAGGCCCCTGAAATAGCCATGGATCAAACAGTCATCGCTCAGGTGTGAGTTGTTGCACCTTTGCTTAAAATGCAGCAGCTGCTCTTCCAAACCTGCCCAAAGTTATGCATCCAACATGAAGATCTGTGAAGGTTTATTCACTTGGGCAAGTGTCAGCCCATCTAACACCATCTGGATGGATTATGTCCACGCATCTCACCCTGTAAGGTGTTTGTAATGGGAAGTAGTTCTGGTAAAGTGTTACCTGAGCCCTCTAAAAATTGATATTTTTGCCTTATCAACTCTGTTGTGAACTTCAAGAAACAAGAGACTGACAGGGGAAAGTGTAAAGGGAAACAACAAGCTTGGCTTTGGAGGAGGTGAAGTGACAGAGGAGCTTCCGGAGGAGGAATATCAGAAGAAGTCAAAGAATCGGTTCATCTGGAAGAGAAGATGAGGAATCCTAATGCAAAGTTTCGTGCAAAGTTTGATCCAAGCGTCACAGCGAGGTACTGATGTTGTGTTTACTTTAGTTGTGTTCAGAATAGCATCTACCGTACTGCAAAAATAGTACCAGTAGTACGCAGAATGTACACTACATTGTGCACAGTATGTGAATTTTCTGTATGCGTTTGCAACAGTAAATTTCGATATCAGAAATCATTCTAATATGCTGATTTGCTGCTCAAGATCAAGAAACATTTGCTTTTATTATCAATGTTCAAAACAGTTGTGCTGCTTAATATTTTTGTGAGACTATTATCCATTTTTCAGGCTTCTTTGAATAGGACGTTCAAAAGAACAGCATTTATTTGAAACAGAAATATGTTGTAACATGTCTTGACTGTCAACTTTTGATCAATTTAATTTGACCTTTCTGATTAAAAGCATTAATATCTTTCAGAAGTGTGCAGTAAGCACAAAGCTAGTATTTCATTCCTAATAACCTTTATGAAGAATTCTTGACAATGCCATGAACTTTATTCTTTTAGACTGGATGGCAGAATTAAGATATGAAACATAACATGTCAATTACAGATCCCTGCAATAATTAAATGCTTTATTATATTTATTAGTCCACCAGTGCCACTCACAGCATTTAATACCAGCCTAAATGTAATAATGAAATCTCATTTATGAAATAATGTGATGTGATGCATCCAATTACAGCAACACAATAGTCTCTCATAGCAGATGCTTCTGTGCCCATCAGAGTTATTGAAGTTAACTAAAAACCATTCAAAAAACTATTTTGTTACTTGAAATAAAATAACATAAATGAAATATAATATTTAAAAAAAAATAAAAAAATTAAAACCTTATTTTAATCACACTAGTTGCCAAGGAAATATTTCTCATTTTCATTTAGTTTAACATGAAGTGTTATTATAGTTAACTAAAACTTAAACCATAAAACTTCTTTGTTACTTGAAGTGAAATTACTTTGAAAAAAAAAACTTATTTTATACCAGATTGCTGCCAAGGCAACATTCTCATTTTTGTTAGTTTAGCTTGATGTACTTAAAAATAATAATAATAATATATAAAAATAATAATGACAAAAAGCACACAACAAAATTACTAAAACTAACTAAAAATGAAAACAGAAAATATAATAACAAAAACTAATTCAAAATATTCATAAAAACTAATACTATGAATAACTGTAACTTGATGTACTAAAACTGAAATAAAAGTATTACACATTATATCGACATATTAAAAAAAAACTAATAAAAATTACAAAACTCACAACAAAATTATTAAAAATGTCACTAAAATGAAAATGGAAAATATCAAAATAAAATAAAAATATTCAAAACATGAATTAAATCAATAATCTTATCTCACAGGTGTTCATATGTGTTTTAGGTATGACATCAAGGCTCTGATTGGCCGTGGCAGCTTCAGCCGCGTGATTCGTGCTGAGCACAGGAACACACGCCAACCCTTCGCTATCAAACTTCTGGAGGTCAAAGGTCGGGAGGGTCACGAGGCCTGTCAGGTAGAACTCGGGGTCCTGCGACGGGTGAACCACAGCAACATCATCCACCTGGCTGAGGTTTTCGAAACGCAGCATCGGGTCTATCTGGTTCTGGAGCTGGCCACAGGAGGAGAGCTCCTGGAGCGTGTGGTCGCCAGAGGAACCTTCAGAGAACGGGACGCCACCAAGGCCTTGATGATGGTGTCCGGCGGGCTGCGCTATCTGCACACGCTGGGTGTCATCCACAGGGATCTCAAACCAGAAAACCTGCTGTACTACCATCCGGGACAGGACTCGCGATTGATCATAACAGACTTTGGGAGAACAAGACGGCGGTGTCATTTCACAGCAGAGGAGATACAGCTGTTACGTCTCAGGATGCAAATTTTGACTCGTCCTTTAGCACTGTGTGTGAGACTAAAGATTGGGCTGTGAGGACGCTCTGCGGCACGCTGGAGTACCTGGCCCATGAGATGCTGGCACGGAGACCCTGTAGCAGTGCTGCGGATATGTGGGCGCTGGGTGTCATCACTTACATCCTGCTGAGCGGCTCGCTGCCCTTCGACCAGAGCAGCCGACCACGACTCTTCAGAGCCATTCTCAGGGGCAGCTACAGTTTCCATGGTGATGCGAGTGTCACAATACTTGTTTTTACAATAGGTGTCACAGTATGTGTTTTTATTTGTGAGTTTAAAGGAACAGTTCACTCAAAATGAAAATGTGCTGAAAATTTACACTCAGGTCATCCAAGGTGTGGATGAGTTTGTTTCTTCATGAGAACAGATTTGGAGAAATTTAGCATTCCATCACTTGCTCACCAATGGATCCACTGCAGTGAATGGGTGCCGTCAGAATGAGAGTCCAAACAGCTGATAAAACAATCCACAAGCAATCCACACAACTCCAGTCCATCAGTTAATGTCTTATGAAGTGAAAATCCATCATTAAGATGTTTTAACTTTAATGATGTTTTGACTTTAAGCCGGCGCTTCTGGTCAAAATGAAGTCCATAATCCACAATCACGCTTCCTCCAGTGAAAAAGTCCATCCTCTGTTGTCCTCTCACTTCAAAATCAGACGACATATTTATTTAGGACTGTTTTGGACTGTTTTCACTTGTAAATGGTGCTTAATCTGTGCATATTTCTCTCCTGATTCAGATGAGAATTTTTCACTGGAGAAAACAATTATGGATAGACTCCAGTTAAAGTCTTAATGATGGATTTGTTTCTTAAAAATGCACAGCATTTCACTTTAGAAGATGATAATTGATGGACTGGAGTGGTGTGGATTACTTGTGGATTGTTTTATCAGCTGTTTGGACTCTCATTCTGACGGCACCCATTCACTGCAGAGGATCCATTGCTGAACAAGTGATGTAATGCTACATTTATCCAATTCTGTCCTGATGAAGAAACAAACTCATCTATGTCTCGGATGGCCTGAGGGTGAGTACATTTTCTTAAAACTAAAACTGCACCTGTCACATAAATTCATATTAGAAATTGATCTCATCATTGATCTCAAATTGAAATCATCATTTTCATGTTGGTGGCTTAATGCAAATCATATTTTGCATATGCGTCAAAACACAGATCTTTTCTTTAGTAGACTATAATTTGTATGTCTGGAATCTTCTTCAGAAAACCCTGGAGAAAAAAGTATCACAGCTTATACAAAAACATTAGCGCTGATAATAATAAGAACTGTTTGTTGAGCAGCAAATCAGTAAAATAGAATGATTTCTGAAGGATCATGTGACACTGAAGACTGGAGTAATGATGCTGAAAATTCAGCTTTGATCACAGGAACAAATTACATTTATGAAAATAGTTATTTTAAGTTGTAATAATATTTCACAGTATTGCTGTTTTTACTGTATTTTTGATCCAAAAATGCAGCAATTATGAACAAAAGTTTTCTTTTCAAAAACATTAAGAAATCTTTCCGCCCACAAACATTCATAAAGTCTTAATTGTGACCTAAGTATTCAAATACTTTTGGGACCACTGTGTTGTAGTATATTCATATTTTCTTTGTTCACACTGTTCATCTTCATAATCATAATCATGCTTATGATGGCGTAACCAGACCACAGTACTGAGATACCTGGAATGACCCAGCAGAGCAATGAAACATCCAGCCGAGTGTGAAGTAAAGAGCAAACAGAGTTTGTGTGTGTGGGAAGGTGAAATCTGGTCACCTGTGCAAACAGCCACCAGCTACCTGACTGATGCGTCGCCCACCCACAGCACGTCAGCTCACCTCGTCTCAAGGGTGTGTGTGTGTGTGTGTGTGTGATGTGAGAGGTGGTAATCAGAGGGGAGAGAAGATTCACCACAGGGCTTTTATCACCTTTAAACTGCAAACACACACATTTCTTTATCACTTCAAACCCACAGAGCTGTGAAATTATAGGTGCAATTGTACAACAATAATTGCTGTTCTCTTGAAGAGAAAGAGCATTAAATATATAATTCTTTGTAATCCCGCTGCTCACAGACCGTAATCAGATACATGCAGGAATATTTTTGTATTTTTTGGTTTGGACTACTGAGTCACAATATAATTGATGATTGTAGAGCAAGACTGTAATAAGTGGGTTAATATCCACCATGTCATGCCTTTGCATAGATACACAGGCTATAAAGCCACAGGACTGGTGTGGCTCTTAATGGACTTTGCATTTAAAGTCTGACCATTTGAGCCATTTGGATAATTGCATTGAGTATTTATTGTTTTCATTCCTTTTTTGTGCAGCTTTACCATGCATCTGTTTGAAGTTGTCTTGTCTTCTTATACAATTAAGAAAAAAGTGGGTAGGATTTACTTTAAAACCATTTTTACTCAGAAATTGCTAGATTTTGTGAATAATTACATAGAAATGGCAAGTAACACTGAATTAAATGTGAAATTTGACGTACAAATAATATATTATTGTAAAACATACTCAAGTAATCTTTGTTTTATTTACAGCTTTTATTTACAATCACATCTTTAATCAACATGTTAAAAAAAAATTAAAACTTAATTTTATTTAATTAATTAATTTCTTTTCATTTTTATTTATCCTGAACTCATAAAGGAAAAAAGCATGATTAAATGACTAAAATTAAAAAAGACAACAACCTCCACCACCACCACCCAAAAAAATTAAGGCATTTAACAACTTTAAATATTTCTGTATTATATAAAATGATTATATTATTTAGTAAACAAAGTAGTTACACTGAAAAAACAAATACTTTGAAATAGTTTTGACTCAGAAATTGCTAAATTTGACAAATAATTGCAAAGACTATGCAATAACATATTACATTTTTTGAAGTAGAAAAACTGAAATAGTATTTTCTTATAAAAGATACTCCAAAAAAATCAGTTTTATTGATAATTCCTAAATTATTTTTAACAGTGCAGATTTTGCATTTTTTTAATGTATTTATTTTTTTCATGTATTTACTAAATTTAAATTAATTTCATTAAAAATATATGAAAATAAAATTTTTGAGAAACCACGAGAAACACAAGAAACGTAATGATGCTGAAAATTCAGCTTTGATCACAGGAACAAATTACATTTATGAAAATAGTTATTTTAAGTTGTAATAATATTTCACAGTATTGCTGTTTTTACTGTATTTTTGATCCAAAAATGCAGCAATTATGAACAAAAGTTTTCTTTTCAAAAACATTAAGAAATCTTTCCGCCCACAAACATTCATAAAGTCTTAATTGTGACCTAAGTATTCAAATACTTTTGGGACCACTGTGTTGTAGTATATTCATATTTTCTTTGTTCACACTGTTCATCTTCATAATCATAATCATGCTTATGATGGCGTAACCAGACCACAGTACTGAGATACCTGGAATGACCCAGCAGAGCAATGAAACATCCAGCCGAGTGTGAAGTAAAGAGCAAACAGAGTTTGTGTGTGTGGGAAGGTGAAATCTGGTCACCTGTGCAAACAGCCACCAGCTACCTGACTGATGCGTCGCCCACCCACAGCACGTCAGCTCACCTCGTCTCAAGGGTGTGTGTGTGTGTGTGTGTGTGATGTGAGAGGTGGTAATCAGAGGGGAGAGAAGATTCACCACAGGGCTTTTATCACCTTTAAACTGCAAACACACACATTTCTTTATCACTTCAAACCCACAGAGCTGTGAAATTATAGGTGCAATTGTACAACAATAATTGCTGTTCTCTTGAAGAGAAAGAGCATTAAATATATAATTCTTTGTAATCCCGCTGCTCACAGACCGTAATCAGATACATGCAGGAATATTTTTGTATTTTTTGGTTTGGACTACTGAGTCACAATATAATTGATGATTGTAGAGCAAGACTGTAATAAGTGGGTTAATATCCACCATGTCATGCCTTTGCATAGATACACAGGCTATAAAGCCACAGGACTGGTGTGGCTCTTAATGGACTTTGCATTTAAAGTCTGACCATTTGAGCCATTTGGATAATTGCATTGAGTATTTATTGTTTTCATTCCTTTTTTGTGCAGCTTTACCATGCATCTGTTTGAAGTTGTCTTGTCTTCTTATACAATTAAGAAAAAAGTGGGTAGGATTTACTTTAAAACCATTTTTACTCAGAAATTGCTAGATTTTGTGAATAATTACATAGAAATGGCAAGTAACACTGAATTAAATGTGAAATTTGACGTACAAATAATATATTATTGTAAAACATACTCAAGTAATCTTTGTTTTATTTACAGCTTTTATTTACAATCACATCTTTAATCAACATGTTAAAAAAAAATTAAAACTTAATTTTATTTAATTAATTAATTTCTTTTCATTTTTATTTATCCTGAACTCATAAAGGAAAAAAGCATGATTAAATGACTAAAATTAAAAAAGACAACAACCTCCACCACCACCACCCAAAAAAATTAAGGCATTTAACAACTTTAAATATTTCTGTATTATATAAAATGATTATATTATTTAGTAAACAAAGTAGTTACACTGAAAAAACAAATACTTTGAAATAGTTTTGACTCAGAAATTGCTAAATTTGACAAATAATTGCAAAGACTATGCAATAACATATTACATTTTTTGAAGTAGAAAAACTGAAATAGTATTTTCTTATAAAAGATACTCCAAAAAAATCAGTTTTATTGATAATTCCTAAATTATTTTTAACAGTGCAGATTTTGCATTTTTTTAATGTATTTATTTTTTTCATGTATTTACTAAATTTAAATTAATTTCATTAAAAATATATGAAAATAAAATTTTTGAGAAACCACGAGAAACACAAGAAACTGGTACATTCATTTTACACTAGATTTTTTTAGAAGATTTTCTTATTTGTTAATAGCCTGCTTGGTTTCTGATTGTGTGTTTTCATGGATTTTTAATTAGCATTCTATTTTTAAGCTCTTCACCTACTTGTATTACATGTATATTAATGTTGAAGTTAATCATAACATCTCGCAGTGGCGACACACTGTGCACTGAACACACCTGAGATAATTCAGCGCAAATGTGTTTCATCTCATTTGACCTGATGTTCTCTCTCATTAAATACTTCACAGATGATACTCACTTATTAAAGACTCTGGAGAACGCAAAATAGCAAAGTTTAAAAACAACTTAAAATAAGGACTGAACCTTTTTTCATTAAAGCCCAATTTCAGAATGATTTTTTATCTGCATCGGTGTGAATTCCGATGCTGTTCTATGGTGTGTAATTAAACACTAGTCGGCCGTCCTTTATAGGTTAAGCACATGCATGCACGCAGCGCATGGACCCACGTTTCTGCACAGATATATACATATATATTTAACCACATGAATGCACAATCACTGTGCAGAACAGAATGATAGATTGGACCGCAGAACACCAGAGGCAGTCGTTCGGTTCTCGCTATGTTTCATTGATGTCAGATTTCTCTCTTTTTCTGGATGAAATTGCTTGATTCTTTACTTCGGTTGACAGACCACAGCAGCAAGACTATGTACTTGAATGTTTTCACACATTTTCTTTGTTCAGCTTTAAAGTGTTTCAGTGTGTGTTTGAATGAAACCTGCTCTTTAAAATCCATTTGTCAGTAACAGACTTGCAATTGTCAATTTCATGGCTGATTAATTGTCTTTACTGGATGTGTGTGAGAGAGAGAATAAGAGAGGTTGTTCAGAATGGAATACTAGCTTACTACTTATGGTGAGACAGTTTAGTGTGCTAACTATTGTGCTACATTGTCATGTGACCTCATCACATGTTTACTTCAGCATGTTACCAGCATCCAACTTTTGCAGTCCTTGCAAATAATGTATAAGGAAAAATTTTAAAATCACAGCTGATATTACTTCTACTGTGATTTTTTGTTTTATAAGGTGCATTCTCCATATCATGTCTAGAACCCCATAACCAAAACCTCCATAAACAAAAAGTTCAATAAAGTTCAGTTTGATTCAGAATAATTATTCTGAGTTTATTCAAAGCTCTTCTGACTTTTATTAATAATAATTAATGGATTGGATTTTTTTTTTTCAATCATTAATATTTATTTTTATTATTTAATTGTGATTGTTTTTAATATTTAAAAATGAATTATATATCATTTATTTTTTTTCAGAATCATTCGATTTTGATTGTATTTATTTGTATTAATATTAATTATTCTTCTAATTTATTTTAATGTATTTATTATTTATTTTTTGTTTGTTCGTTTGTTTGTTTAAGAATTAATTCCAAATAATTATTTGAAATTAACAGTTTTTCCATCAGGTAATTTTGTGTATTATTCTAAATGTAGGATGTTTACGATGTGGCACCTTCCTGTTTGTAGCTCGTTCAATCAGAATTTCTAATCACAATTGGCTATTTTATAGACTCTTTGCAATTCACAGTGTTTATTCTTGCTTTTTTTTTCTTGCATCTTTTTTTCTTGCTATACAATAAAATAAAATCCTTTAGAAAGCTTCTCTTATACCAGAGATGGCTATTAACTTCAAATTAGCGATGAGTCACAGATCTATTCAGAACCGCTGACATTTATTGACTAATGTCCTCGCATTCAAATGGCGACGAGGCGAAAATGCCATGTTGTATATCTAATGCAGCTTAAGAGGCAGAAGCGTCGGTTGCACAGGTCATTGGTGGTCAGAAGATGGCGGTCAGGCCTCCATCCCTGCAGAATCCGTGTCTGTGTACGCAGTGACATTTACAGCCTGTGCTTTGCTGTGTTGGCTCTCAGACCGGTAATGAGTTGATGCTGTTCTAAACAAAGACTGAATGCAAAACCAGCAATGAATCGATTTCATGCAGGAGAAGTGTGGGTAGGAGGGTTTGCTGGACTGAGTTACAAAGTTACTGAGTTACTGATTCAGAGCTCAATATAAGGATTCTGAAAAAGATTTTTCATTACTTGGAGTCTTTTCAAGACTACTAAATCACATTCACATCTGTAAGAACAATCTCTCCAGACAAGTATACAGTGTTAATCTGAAAATATCTTATTTTACTATTTATTGTGTGTGTGTTTAATACATTATTACATTTATTTTTATTTTGTTTTGATTTATTTTATATTATTATCTTATAATAATATAAAATATTATAAGTTCACAGTGTGTTCGGTGTATTATATGTTCGCTGTG